GTATTGACATTAAATTTGGATCAACATCCATCTCTGTCTCGTAACGTATCAGAATCCCGATCAGCGAATGTAGTGTCGATGTTTGCGCACTGTCAACAATCATGTAACAGCTTTTGGCCTCTTTGGCGTTACTAACAGCAACACCAGTAGCATCATTAGCTGAAGACTTTATCGCCGATGTCGTACTGCTGATACCGGTATTTGTGGCTTTATCCAATTCACGCAGAATGGCATAGATACCTTTGGCGCGTAACACTGTTCGTCCATGTTTCGTTGCACAAAGCTAAAAAAAAAATCCTTCTTTTTTTTTTTTGTTCAGTTTTTCTTTCTTTTATTGTTTACCCAACATGCCTGAACATTTCTAAAGAGACAGAATAAAAAAAAAATTTTTTTTCAAGTAAAACGAACAAAAAACCACATTTTGATAAAAGATTCATTTGAAGAAAAATGACAGAAAGAGATAAATGATCTGAGAAATTCTGTGAACGAACAACCTGCAAAAATTGACATTATTACGACCATTGAGACCACCATATAAAAAAACATTAAGTAAATAAACGTTGAAAAGAGAAAAAAATCAGAAAAAAACTAAAACGTTCTCTAAAAATACCAAAAAACAAAAAAAAAAAATTTTTTTTTTTCTTCAACCGTAAACAGTAACTGAATAAAATGAAAAGAAATTAAGGGGATGACGATGACGAAGACAATGACTACGACACAGATGACAAAGAAGATGTCGATAATAATGATGATGATGATGATGATGATGAAGCAACCAGGCAACAGAGCTGCAGACAATGGTCTCGACAACTGTTGATCATGCGATCAAATTAATGCTTTCTGCATGACGCTAAGCTAATCGAATATTAGGCTAACAAAACCCCAAAACAAACTATTAACTTAATCAAGTAGCACTTAAAAGATCATAATGACTTCTTTCCTTCTCCCTTTTCCCCTCCAATTTCAAGATGACAGCAACAGCTTTGTTGTTGAAGTTAACAGGAAAAAACAACAGCAGCAGAAAACTGCAACAAAATCAACACCAGCAATTCTGTTGAATCATTTTATATTCACTGTTTTAACTACACACACACACACACACACAAACACACACACACATACAAACACAAACAACAGTACTCATTTTGCAAGTCTCACTTCCTGTCTCAAATATTAAAGCCAAAAATTAGTTCTTTCTTTCTTTTTGTTTTTATTATTGTTTTTGCTGCTGTTGATGGTGCTGCTGCTGCTGCTACTGATACTGTTGTCGTGGTTGTGGTTGTTGTTGTTGTTGTTGTTGTTGTTGTT